CGAAACAAACGTTTTTTTCTTCCCGCTCTAAAAATGCTTACATTCCCAATGGACTTTTTTGAAGTCGGGGAACACATCAAAATTTTTGTTGCACCCTTTGATAATGGCGGCTAGAGTAAAAGAACACGTCAGGTATTTACCATTTCATGGATTTTGTGTAACTATAATGCAGAAACTGAAGCGGAGTCCCCCCCACCCACCGCCCCTCACTAATTAATATTGTGTCCGTTGCAATTTAAAATTTGAATTTGCAATGTCGATTTGCCTTCCTCTAGACTTTCTCTTCAAGCACCTGCATCCCCTCAGATAAGTTTAAAAACGTCGCTTTCCGAGTCGATTTCTGACTGCCTTTGTACACTTTCCATAGTGAGCCCCGCTATTGTTGTCTTGATGTGACGTCACACTTTCGGGTAGGTCGGTCGTCGGGATCTCACTTCGGGAAAACCTTTGTCTAATTTACGAAATAGAAATGTCTTTCTTCATGCTTTAGTTAATGTATTTTATTGAATTACTTGTGACATAAAAATATTTCATTTGAGATTTTCTAAAATACCAAAACATACATAGCAAAACATTCCATTTGTCTTAATGACTTGAACTCATTGGATCATAGTTCCTTGGTGCCCAAATGCTCCAAGGTGGCGACAAAGCAACCATTTTCTCAGAGTGAAGCTCTTCTATTCACCCCAACATAGTTCCTTCGTAGATGGCATCAAAATTGGCCTGTTACTTGTATAGGTCGGGAACACCTTCGATCAAATGCACCTTCCATATACTAAATCCCTTTTTTTTCTGTGTTGAATACGCCTCGAAATTTTCCTCGACATTCCTCCCCTGGCCGCTTCCTCTCGCCCGCCCGCAGGACGGAGGGGTTACAGCGTTTTGCTTTTTGAAGTAGACATTTGCATAATCAGATTAGGACATGTGATTGTCAGCCGCCTCCGCCATCACGGGGTCCTCCAGAGGAAAGAGGGTCCTGTCCAGCCCGACAATGGACCGCCACTCCTACTCGGGGCCAACCCCTCGCCCTCCCCAGCAATCCTGCACCTGCATCCCACCCAGCCGCCCGGCTCGCGGGTTAGAGAAGGAGGAGGAAAAAGAAGGGCGCCGCGAGTGCGCAAGAGGCGGGGACCAGTGCAAGGGGCGGTGGGGGGGGGCTCGGATTGAGCCGGGATATTGAAACGTGGCGAGTGTGAATTGGCTTTGAGGGGATAAAGAGCTCAGGGGCCTATCGGCTGGCGCCCAAAAACTCCAGAAATTCTTTTCTCCGCCGGGAGAGTGAGGGGGCTGCCAGCACTGATCTGGCCCATTGTGATAACGGATTCAGGCGGCGTGCGCGACGCTGATAAGGAAACTCGCTCTCAATAGACGATTACCCGCACGCACACTTGGGACAGAATAGTCAATCGGGGGACTCGGTGGAGGCAACCCAGATGCGTTTTCGTTATTTTCGCTGCTTTGCCATTTTGCCTACGGTTTGCAGACTGCATGCAATGCTTCAAAATCCGACAATGTTAAAAACAGTTCTACAGCAAACAGAGGAACTGACGCACCCTCTGAAAATGGTCCTTAGTCATACTGTAGTTTAATATGTAAATATACCTCAACTTATGATCCGCAAAAGATTTTAAATGAGTGAATCTACATTATTTGCCATGATGCGTTAGCACCACACTAACAGACTTAAGAACATGTCATTCTCTTTTGTTTTATGTTTGGTTTGACAGTAAACTTAAGCTGCGAGTGGCCATCTTTTTCCTGAAGATTTTTTTTTCACCATCTGCCAAACTGCTGCTTCTTGTGAAGTTTGCTGCCACCATACGTAGTGTATGTATGGAACACATTTTTTTTTTTTTTTTTGCCCGCAACTCAAGACATAAAATCAACGAAGCGACACCTTGTATCTCGAAAACCCATTCCATAAATACCCGATACAAAACCCAAGAAGACACACTGTGTTCTTAAAGTTCCAACAAATGGCTCTGCCATAAACCGCGCTCACAAAAAGTGTCACGGCGCTTGTCCTCACATACAAAGCTGTTATCTTACCCGGCAGCCTCTCTTAGCATTGTCGGGCATTAGCTCAGCTCAGCGCGAAGAGGCAAACACGTCGAACCAGACACAAGGCGGCCGTGGCATTTTACATGATTTGCTCATTGTTTTGACCACGCCACAAAGAGTCAGCTGTCAGATTTCGCAAGCCGGCCGGTGTGTCCAGCTGCCCTCTGCACCCTTTAACATGCCATTAGCGCCGCTTTAATAGCGCTAACTGTTTACTCTTGGGCTCAGTCGTCATCGGCTGCCTTTTTTTAGAGGAGGGCCTCAGTGGACCACCGCCGTGCAGTTTACGACTGCACCAAGGAGATCTAATACCAGAGCCGCATCAAAAAACCCTCTTTGATTCAGTTGATTCTTACAGTTATCCTGTACACCAGGTGTCCCCAAACTACGGCCCGCGGGCCGGATCCGGCCCGCCTCCGCATTTGGTCCGGCCCCCTGAAAATACCACAGAGTATTTTGATTTATTTTTCATCGATGTGGATTTGTCTTTGATCATAAAGTTGGGCTTTTGCAATAAAATGTTCCTTAGTTCTGAACCGTTTTCATTATTAAC